ATTGAGGACACCTACAGACAAGTGATTTCTTGCAATAAAAATGTCTGTACTCTACAAATCACAGACACCACTGGATCCCATCAGTTCCCTGCAATGCAAAGACTTAACATCACTAAAGGACACGCATTCTTCCTCGTCTATAGGTATCATTAAAATAACATTCAAGTGAATCACACTTCATATAAAAAGTCTTACATAGTATTGAAAAACTCACAAGAATTGAGAAATATTAGTTTTATGAAATATAAATTTATTGGCATTTTGTTTCCCTATAATAAGCATAACATCGAAGCAGAGTCTGGAGGAACTGATTCCTATATATCGGCAAATAATTGAAGTAAAGGCTGGAACTGGAGAGTCAAATATTCCGATACTATTAGTGGGAAACAAATGCGATGACTCCTATCGTGAAGTAAGCAATGATTTTGCAATTGAGGTCATCAGCAAAGTTATGAAAGGATGCGCTTTCATCGAGACGTCGGCCAAAACCAGTCTCAATGTTTACGAGGCTTTTCAGGTTAATTGCATAAAACATAACTCTTTTTATATATACTTACACTATGTTTGTTATATACTGTACACTATGTTTGCATTTGTGTTGTCTCTTACAACAGTATATTACTTCTAATCTCTTTTCCATCCTTTAATGCATGCAATCACTTGCTTTTATAAAAAAGGTCTAATTTGTATGAAAACTTTTGTCATTATTTGATTGCAACAGGAATTGTTGTCGTTGGATAAAAATCGGAATATATCACTGAAATTGGATTATAAAAAGTCGAGATCACAGCTTAGGAAAGAGAAATTGAAGGGTCACTGTTCTCTAATGTAATGGCATTTAATTAGATGCCGACAATTGCTTTACTTTATATATGATACACAAAAGGCTTCACAGCGTTTAGAATATGAGGTTAGGATTGGAAACGAAATACCGATAATAATATCGTAAACAGGAATACCAAACAAAATAATACCATTAAATCAATAATCGTTTTGAATCTTTTTATTATTGAAGGAATTTATTGTTCACTAAATAAATAAGTGTTTTTATTAGTAAAATTTACAAACAATGTTATGTTTATTTTGAGCTCTTATACAAAGCTTATTATGGATTCGTGGACATATTACTAGACATTTAGTAAATGAAAAACTTTCTTTTGAATTTAGTATTGGATTTTGAATTTTTACACAAAAATGCATACCTTTACAAAACGTATACCTTATTTGATAAAAACAATTTACAATTATTAAATCAATTTTGAATTTAATGTTTACAGATATTAATTGTGATTGTTTTTGACATATTTTCTATTTAACTTAATACAAATGCATATCAATTAAAAGCACACAAAACAGCATTTGAATCAGTTTTAGATCGATTTACAAATATCTTAATTGTTTTAAATCGTAACATATAAAATCGTATAACTATTCAGATCTCATATCAAAACTAAACTTACATACAGTACTAATACAAATTGTTGGAAGTCTTATATAAAGTGAATTTTAATGATGTAATGTTGAAACATAAAGAATATATTATATTAATTGTTAAACATATTTCAGACTTATTTGTTGTTAAAAATAAAAACTAATTTATAGGTATAATGTGTTTTGATTTCTATTTTCAATTATTTATTGCATCCTACTCAAATCAAATGATTCAAGAAATTCATCACAACTGTCATCATATTCTTATATTCCCTTGTTAACTTATAATCCGCGTGAATTAGAGTAAGAAATAAACGGCTAACAAATGAACGCATCTTGGTACTGTATCTTATAGATTTTATAAAATAGCTCTTTTATAAACAAAAAGTTTATTATTATTATTTCAATTGATTTAGTAAAACCTGAATAAAATCTATAGCAGGAATTCACACTAACAGTGTTTGACTGTTTCAGACCTTTAGCACTAACACTCTATTATTAAATATCAAATCAATACTGTATAAGCAAAAAACCTTCCAGTTATCACATTTTATAATATGATACAATACTTGTGGCTAAAGTTCAATTACAGTCAAACAATATTAGTGGAGGATCTCTAATCTATTAATATAAAGTAGTGTTTTATTAAACTCAATTACATAATGTTAATAATAAATAAATTGAAAAGGTAAAATATTCAAACATTTAGTTTTGAAATTGGCATTCGAGTTGTCCACCGATTTTGGTCTCATTTCTTCAGACATTTAATTATTTGAATGAATGTGATCTTTGATTGAGAAGGTGGAAGTCATTTCAACAATCATGTCATGTCTCTTACTGTACATCCAGTGCTTTCAAATGGTCGCAAAGACATACCTTGGTGGCACCAAGTTGGTGCCATCACAAATAATAAAACCACAATCAGACACCTATCTTAGTATTATTGCTACAAATTATACATTTTATTTGAATTTATTCTTATCCCCTCACTATTTATTATTTAATTTTATAATAAATTATATTAAATAATTCTTTAAAATAGTTAAGTTAAACAATGTGTTAATTTTTAATTAAATATTCTTATGCAAGCTAGTATCTTAGATTGTGTTATATTCTGGTACAATAAACACTATTATAGTTTTATTAAAGTGTTAAATCTCATCATTTGAATTAACCTAAAGTCTCGTCATTTACTGAACGTCAACACAACTATTGGAAGAATACATTGCTTTGAAAGAAGGTATTAATTATTTCATCGAATATGCAATTTGTATATTCATGCCTTATATTGTTATAATTGAAATGCAAGTTATTTATCATTAAAAATAAACAATGGTCCTAATCATTATCACACAAATTTACATCATTTATATATGTTTTTAATATTTCGGTAATTTGTAATTATTCAAATAATGTTCCTAGATAATTTTTTAAAATTGTTTGATTTCAGATGAAAGTTTTATTTTAAATTATTATAAATTATTAAGTGTTTTATAAGTATTAGTAACCTGTATTATTTACGTAGTGTACAATAATTGCATGATATGTTTCAGGATAGGCGAGTTCATATAGTGAGCATCTGTTCAAATTCACATCTATTTGAATACAATGTTAATCATTTAAATCTAATGTAAACTTTATAGACCTTGATGATCCTGGTTTATATCAACTCATTCCTACAGTCGTATCTAAAATTTGAAATTTTCAAAATTGTCCTAAAAACTAAATCTGTTTTAAAATCAATTATTAAAATAACATATTTCACTTATTTTGTATTAAATATGAAATATTTTTAAAATACTTATTCTTAAGTGTTTGGTGATATACCTAGTCATTAGTACACAATAACTCAACTTTTTATTTTACATACAATTTATTTGACAATAGTTTGTATCTGCAATTGTCTGCTAATAACAGTGTATTAAATGACATATTTATCTGTAAGTGAATGAGGAGTCCATTGGTTGCGAACTAACTTTTAAATTATCAGCAAAATGTTTATAAAGTTAATTAGTATTAAAATACACAAGTTTTAGGCATAGAGTACTGTAAGATAGAGTACACGAGTTTTGGCACCAATTTTCCAATACTTTCTAATCTAATTCATGAATTCATACAAAAGCATTATTTCTAACCAAATGTTGTCCACTTGTTTTGGTGTTTCAATTCATTCATATCTGTTACAAATACAACACATTGACTCTGTTTTAATATGATTATCATAGTGACAAACAGTATTTAATATAATATTTAAAACACATCAGGGTTCAATCAGTACAAAGCCATTGGTACAATTTTATTGCACCAAGTAAGCTAGGTAATATTTTTAGCGTTAATTAAAGATATTGGTAATTTTAGAAATTCTATAATTAGGGGCAATATTACGTTTATTTGTATTGATAAAAAATGACTTGAGCATAATCTTATCACTTACTCTTTAGTAAGGGAAATGCAATGAATTTATATTAAACATAGAGAATCTCATTTAAAAACTTGAAGTTCACAATAAACTCAATTCATTATATTCTATGCCTAGACAGTACTGTACATTTTATTCATATAATTTATATCACATTATTTGAACTCATACTGAAAACAATGCTTATGGATAATCCAAATAGTTAGCATTCCTTTAATCAAATAAAAAACTAATTAATTATAATTTATAAATGAGTAAAAATTATATAAATATCTAATTTGCTTTGAGTTGGGCCCACATTTACAACTAACTATAAATAGCATTTGTAGGCAAGTGTATAGCATTTACAGCACCACATAGTATGCTATTATTATAACGTGAATAACTCGCACATACACTGCAGCTAATGAATACAATGTTACATAATATGTGACATTACTGTTACAGTACTGCTAATATTGTACCGTATAGTTAACTGTAACCTATTAATTGGTGTTTATCGTGAAGTACATTGCTAAGTATTTTATATTTTATATGATATTATTGGTTATAAGTTGTACTCAAACAATGGTCTAATAAATGGTGAATTAGTGAAGTGTTTGAGTGATGATAACGAGTGAATCCGTCACTCATGTCATAAGAGTGTCGCCAAACCATATCAATATCACCAGAGATTGGCTTAAGAGTCATATATAAGACATGTTTTACTCACAAACGACTCATTCATTCATATAATCAGTCAATCATTGCATTAGTTATCGCTATTTATATGAATTAGTCGACGATTACCACAAACATCACAACCACCACAACCACTGCACCACAAGACATGTCTATCAGAAGCGCTCTCTTCTCATATAAGTTGTCGGCGAACCAGGAGTTCAACGAATCGGCTCTCGAAGAGGTTCTTAAGCAACAATTCGCCGCTCTTTCGGTCGTAAGTCGTGTCCCACTCTTCGATGGACTTCTGGTCCTTTTTGCCGCCAATGAGAACCGATTGACGATTACAGTGAGACACTACTCGTCGTCCCGATTGGTGTCCATCACTGCCGAGGAATGTGTGGACTCGGAAGCGAAGGGAAAAACCAATAGTCTGTTGAATAACTCAAACGCAGACAAATTGAGGGCAAAACTAGTATCGGCTCTAAATGTGGCTAAAGTTGAGAGGATTCCCACTCTGAAGAAGTGGACAACTGTTCCCAACTATTATACCTCATCTGATGAGCGCCTTCTGGAGTACGACTTCAGTGAAGTGGTGTTTGAGAAGCACTCGGACTTCCAACACATCAAAATCCTGTCGTCGCCCTCTTTAGGCAATTGTCTCCTTTTGGATGACCTCCAGAATCTGGCGGAACGGGACATCGAGTACACGCGCGGACTCATGAAGTTCGGCGAAATCTCCTACAAAGACAAAGAGGTGCTGATCCTCGGCGGCGGTGACGGCGGACTACTCCACGAACTGCTCAAAGAGGGGCCCAAATTCGTCACAATGGTTGACATCGACGGTGCGGTTATGAATGCCTGCAAACAACACCTGCGCGGCGCCTGCGGTGACACTCTCGACAACTTCGACGGACCCCACCATCGAGTGATTGTCGGCGATTGTCTCAAATACATGGATCAGTTCATCCGCGAGAAGCGCTCCTTTGACTTCGTGTTCAACGACTTGACGGACATTCCCATCAGCGCTGCAGACAATAAGGACGCCGGCGTTGAGGGCGACGGAGATTTGTGGACATTCTTCACGCGAATACTCAATCTGGCGCTACAACTGGTCAAACCCGATGGCAGTTATCTCAATCACGTGAGTGCGCCAACACCTCTGCCCCCAAACATACACTTACACTAACCCTCTGCTCTCTCCCTGTGCTCTCAGGCCATCGGAATCGGATGCAAATCAACTCTCGACACGTATGAGGAACTCCTTCGGAACCTACCGGTGAAGGTTAGGTTCGCGCGTCACTCGGCGTTTGTGCCCTCTTTTATGGAGGACTGGGTTTTCTATCAGATATGGAAAGTCTGACGACTAGTGGATTGTAATTAGATTTATAGACTTATTCGCAATTGAATTGAATGAATGTTTTCCAATCAGTCAATCATATAATTGAAAAATAGCACAAAAACTAATTTTTAAGACTTTACCTCAAATTATCTCAAACTTATAGTCAAATACAAATCAAATGCAATCGATTGAATGCATAAATAAGTACCAAATCTGGTCAACAAATTACTAGTGATTACATAATTCCCAACAATTAGTATATTATAATTACAATTACTTTGATGTTATTTATTAGAAAATTGTTTTTTATTCACATTTTTATTAGTTAAGATTTTTGTTTAAATAAAATATTTGTTACCGGTTACATAATTTTCAAAATACTTTAAACGATATTTGAAACTACGGTACAATGTATTACGGGTATAACTATAACTACTTTAAGTGTATTGCAGACTGAGATCATTGGACATCACTTACTGGTCTGTCCTGATTTGTGGTGAGTCTGTCATCCATGGCCCCCTTGACCTGTTATGTCACCAATAAGACATTCCCATCAATACTCGAACCATTGTTTTTACGGTAGCAATAAATTATAGTGCCCTCATTATTCATATAAGTGACCTTTATTGAATACTTTACGGTATATAAATCTATTTAATTCTAAATAAAGTCAATCTTATACAGTAATAAGTTAGGACAAATTAATACATAACAGTTTATATACAATTTTATGGTAATATTATATTCGAGAGAATAATAAATATATAAAAATAAATCGTGCGATTAAAAGGCAATCAAATATAATCATTGATAGCACTAGAAAATTGTTGGCCATTCACTACATCTTGAGTTTAGCCAACTGGGCCTCGATCTCACTGTCAGAGAACTTGGACTTCGCAGTCGATGTGGAGCCCAACTCACGCGATGGTGTCGGCGCTGAAGCCATCTGTTCTCAAGACAACAATCATTACATACTTATCACACGATATACGATAATAATGCGGTAGCCATAGAGTAACTGTACGGTAAGATGATTGTCATACCTTTCCGGTGATCTCAATGCCAATCTCGTCCAACACCTGCGCCACGACAGCGTCCTGTTCCTCCTCATCGCCCGACTCGTCCAGAATGCCATTCAGTGTGTCCTCAACTATAAGTTAACCATTCATTGTATGATATATTTGGTGACAATGAGTGCCATTCAATACAAACTCATTTCCTCCTTCATAGACATCATTTGATTCTCTTTCTCGAAGTCTTGCATTGTTTTCATCATTTGTTGCGGTTTTAACTGAGCGTTCATTTCACTCATTGTCTGATTATTGGACACAACATAGCATTTAATGGGAGACAACACACATGAGGGACAGACAGACAAACCTTCGTCGTGTTGGCCATGGCTTCTGCCATCTTATTGTTTGCTTGAATTATCTAAACGTTTCAAATGATGGGTTCAACACATCCCACACCAATGCCATACTCTTACATACCTTAGACTTGGATCCGATGGCACCGATGTTGGCGCCCACAGCCACCGTCCGGGTCCTCGACTTCCTCAGTTGAACCAACTGTTTGGCGAGTGTTTGGCACAACTGTTTGTTGCCCTCTTTGGCCGCCTTCTTGATCTGTATCTCCAACTGCTTCTCCTGTTTCTCGATATCATTACGACTCTTATCGACGTCTCTCTGGGCTCTTCGGATCTCCCGGTTCTGCGTTCGCATCAGTTCTGCCGTAAAGATGTCACACAATCACCACAAACACCATTCAAGACATTCACTTACGGTCTGGGGTTTGCTTTTTGCCGAAGAAGTTCATAGTTATAGTGATTTGTGTATTGCTTTCAATGCTATATAACTGTAATAATTGTGTGAATAATANTCCTGTTTCTCGATATCATTACGACTCTTATCGACGTCTCTCTGGGCTCTTCGGATCTCCCGGTTCTGCGTTCGCATCAGTTCTGCCGTAAAGATGTCACACAATCACCACAAACACCATTCAAGACATTCACTTACGGTCTGGGGTTTGCTTTTTGCCGAAGAAGTTCATAGTTATAGTGATTTGTGTATTGCTTTCAATGCTATATAACTGTAATAATTGTGTGAATAATAAGTTAATTAATAATTATATTATCGTATAATAGACTAGAAGTGAGTAATCATTGAATCACTCATTCATTGCAAAACTGTTTCGCAACTGTTTGGCAATAAATGAGTAAACAAATCAAATTGACCACAAACTACGTGCATATACTCTAACGGGTGGGAGAGGGGTTCGTAAGGGTTGTAATGTAGGGACTATTATATAACGTCACAAGGGGGTTTTGTATGTATTTCAGTTCATTACTGTACAGTATCATACAGTACTGTACGATTATTTGTAAAATAGTATCATAACGTTATTTGTGGTCATACAGTTAAATCATGTCAATTTTGTGGCAATATTTCGTGCAAATTGTATCATAACTATGAACTGAATTTGAGTGATTCATTGCTTTCATTGGTTACTGTTATGACATATAATCGTATTAATAATTAACTAATCAATTAACAAGTTTAATTATCACTCAATTGTAGGCTATATGTGTGTGCAGTCATTGTAATGGTTATAACGGTCATGACAATCACATTCATTACATTTTGTTGACAATTTGTGGTCAGTTTTCATTGCATTCACTAATTGTTTGTAAACTTGTATTCAATTACTTATTATTATTTCATTTGTTTATGATTTCAACAAATGTTTTAGTATTGCATTCACTGGACACGTGTTTGGACTGAAGAGTTTGGCACCATTTGGTGACAGAAAAGCTAATCACGAGATAAATAGCTGTGAAATGTCTTATCTGAGAGACAAAAACGACAATAACTTCGTCAATGAGTTTGACGACAACACCACAAAGACATCACAATTATCACCCAATTATCCTCAAAACGATACCAATCTATACAACAGATATAAGGAGAACGCGGCCAACGATCGGCTGAAGAGGTCATCGGAGGGCATACCGGCCATCAGTGCCGAAGACTTTCGAATGCTTCGTGAATGCAATCGCGAGAGCTTTTGGATGCGATGTCTGCCGCTGTCTGTAGGCATCTGTTCCCTAATGTTTTATTTGGCGCACAAGAAGTCAGTGAAACCCAAAGTGGTGCACATCTTGAGCGGCACTTTCGGCGGTTGGTTTTTAGGCAAACTCTCGTATCGGCGCACCTGTGAGGACCGGCTCATCCACTCTCCATCGCAGTCCCCATTTGTCACTGCAATGCGACGCCGAAGAGGTATCGTTAGGGACGACACTGTGCTCACCACCGATGGACAACCTGCCGACCAGTCGAGTGACTTATTCTGGGATCAGCCCTCCAAAGACGAGTTTGGTTACGGCGCTCACGAGTTCGCCGACTATAAGGATAATGACTTGAGTGGTGGCAAAGGCCAGGGGGAGACCAAGACATATACGACTTACGATGACTTGAGAGCTCATAATCGCGCCAATAGTCACAAACCTAAACCCTTTAGTGCATAGATTGGACTGTAGTTTGTTTAGCCTTTTATTACTGTTAGTTGTGTTTCAATGAGTGCACTAATGCTGGACCCGATTGACGGCTCAATTCAATGCAGACACTGTCTCACGAGTCCAGTCACTACCCATTCAACTGTCGTTTGTTTATACCGTACTTTGTTTTAAAGTTTGCTACAAACGTATAAATGAATTGATACTACCGGTACAATCATAACAAACATTTTACTAATTAGTGATCAATTGTATATTTACTAAAATCTAATTACGGTAATAAAAAAATATAATAAAATATATTGTATTGCCAATTCTTTGGATGCCATAAATTTCATGAATATTTAGTTACAGTAGTTGAGCTGTTGTGAAGATTCTGTGGTTAAATGGGTTTCAATGAATTATAAGTTTATGTAAATTAATGCATAACAAGTGACCGGATATTGCATTCAATGATGTGAAAGCACTCTACAGTCTATGTAATCATTGGGTCGTCAATGCGCTGTAAGACTGAGTGCACTGTAAGACTCAAAGCACTGTAAGCTTTAGACGCTGTCCATGAGATAATGGGAACAAATGATAGTTTTTGAACAAATGATAGTTTTTGAACAAAGTGCTTCACTGCAGTTCATAGACAGAGGTATGGGTCAACTATCAAATAGTGAATGCCATACAAGTGTTGTGCACAATATTGCAGTATTCATTTTAATTCTGATTGGCAATAAAGGTTTTGTTAAATTTATTGTATTTATTAAAACTTAGGCAAATAATTTTTGTACAAAATTGAAAATATTTAATATAATAATGGTATATATCGGTACAAAAAAGATTAATTAAATTGAAAATATTTATTTAATTTGCATTTATTGGTTACAGTTAAGTTTTAAACCGATTTCCAAACTATTAGATTTATAAGAAAGTTTAAATTTGCAAATATTTATTGCAAACCTAATTGTGTAGTTTATTACTTGTAATTAAGTTACAAATAAATTTCCAAACTATTAGATATCTTAAATATTTGTTAAAATTTGTACAAACTGATTGCATATCTAATAGTGTGGTTAATTCCTTACAATTAAGTTTCAAATAAATTTCCAAACTATTAAGTGTTCACTGAAATAGTTGCATTTGTGGGACCCATTTAGCCATCTATTCTAATAATATTTGTTAATTAAAATAAAATAATTAATTAATGTAAAAAATCTCATATGAATTATTTTATTACTTTTTAAATACTGTTTTATTTAGAAACAATTTTAATATAAATCTGTAATTTGTTATACAATTCGTAAAATTAACAAAATTTATTACCGTACAAAAAACTTAAAACTGTTTTCAAATGCTAAATAATTGAATTTATCATTATAAATTATTTAAATAAAATAATTTCATTAAATATTTAAAATATAATATTTATGAATACTTTTCAATTTTATTTAAAATAAAATTAATACAAAATTTGAATTAACGACAATAAATATTGTGATAGATTAAAATTGTTTAAAACTAAATTATTTAATTTGATTTAATTATGTATAATTAAGTTTTAAATAAAATTAAGTAACAATTTGGAAAATTTAAACTTTAAATATTTACTAAGTTAATAGACTTAATGGGACCCATTTAGCCATCTATCGATAGCTTAATTTATTATTAATTTTAATTACAGTAATTTTAATTTGTTAATCATTTTGAAGTAAACAGTAATTTAAGTGTTCACTGAAATTGTAGCATTTGTGGGACCCATTTAGCCATCTATTGGTCACATATTTGGCCATTGAAATTGAAATTATATTAAACATCGATTACAAACAGAGTATTAAAATGACAAAACTCCTGAAACACAAATGTTTGGACTTCCAGTCAAATGGACTCTCTGTCCAACTATTTTGCAGACAAGAAGTCCTCCTCTTTGTGAACAATGTTTGGCTATGAGTTGTTCCCTATGATCAGCCAATCCATTGAACAGTCATTTCCAGGTTAAATTATGTTAATAATTTGAGTGCATACAATTATTTGTGAAATTAGTTATAAAGAATAATATACAAACAATCATAACATATAATACTTATATTTTTGGAATATGTGTTACTAAATGACTACATTCATTTTGTAAAATCTAGGACCTTTAAGATATTCACAAAAATTAATTTGGGTTCCACATATTAAATTGATAATTATTGACTGATGAGTTAAATGAATACTGTATAACTATAACTAACAGCAAATGATAGGCCAAAAACAGAATAAATTAATGCATTTAATTGGTCTCAGATTTAGTGTAAAACATGATAACACTTGAATGAATATAATAAATATTGAGAATTACATCTAAATTACATAATTATTATACCTTTTATACGGTCTGCACAAACATATGTATCCATAAAATAGTGAATAAAAATGATTGAAAAAGTTTTGTTCAGTTATTATTTACTAAATTAGCTTTCATTTCAAGTCTCAATGCTTTGTATTACATATATTTGGTTTCATTCAACTCAGTTGCAAATGTTTAAATAAGTTATAATATTTAATAACTGCGATAAGAGTTGACCACCAATTGCAATGGCCGGACATAAGTGAGTATGAAATATTGAAAAATGTAGAGATGTTGTGGTGATAACTGATGCCAAGTGTATGGACATACAAAACAATATGATCTGGTAATGAAACGCTGGAGAGAGTGAGCCTTATAAAGACAAAACACTGTTTGCCTGACTCTATAAGAATCTATCTCTCTTGTGATTCTTGACCGGTTGCGGCCACAGTCTCCATGTCCTCCACGTCCACCACATTATGCCAATGCATTCGTTATAATGTAGGCTTTCATAATAAGTTAATAATAAATATTTGCCTTTAAAAGCCGTTGCAAAAGCATTTAGCTTTGAAGTCCGATCGTTGGAATAAGCCTTGTATTATGAACTGGTAATCCAACCATCGGGTTTTGATGCTTAATGTCTTCATGGGATTGCCACTCAATTATATAAGACTAAGTGTATTTTACTTTCATTAATCAATATTGACGTATAATATTTTTGCCAAGTCTCCATTATTGACACTAAAGTAAATATTTATAAATTAAAATATCAAAAATTAACTGTTTTTATAAATACTAATTACTTATATACAGTAAATATTCATTAGATTGAATCTTTACAAAAAAAAGATAATCACTAACTTTGTAATTAAAATTAAATTTTAATATTGACTGCAGTCTATGAATCATCATGTTGCTGTTAAACTTACCTATTAGTTAGCTTGCAAAAAAGTTACACGTTTATAGTATAATTACATAACTGATCAAGGTTGCCCCAAAATGTGCATTCAGATTTTGGCAACATATGCAACAGTAAAGCCCTGGTGAGTTTTTTGGTTTATTTGGTTTGCTTACATAAATATAATTTATTAGTTATGATTTTAAATTTGATATAAAAAAGTTTTAAAAAACACTGATTCAGATGTTATTTTATTTAATTATTTTTTATTTAAACTTAATTTCAATGAAGACTTTATGTCATAAGAATTATAATTAATAAGAAATTAATTAAAACATAAACTAATTATTGAAAATCAAAATTCATTTTCAAATTTAATATATATATTTATAATACAATACTGTTTAATTGAAATACATTTAGAGAAACCCTGTATTTTGTAGTGGCATTGATTTGACGCTCATTTTTCTGTACAAATTATCATCAAGTACTATTTGTCATAACTTATTTGACTTTATGTTTGAGAATAATATTGTATATATTACTAGTAATTTATTTTGATTATCATTTGTTTGGAAATATAAGTTCAGAAATTAATTCAAACGCCAAATACTACTACCACTAAAATATTTTAATTTTAAAATTCATTATTAAATTTATTAAAATTTATTTGTCTTAAGATTTTATGGTCGAAATAAAACGATAATAAAGCTTTGGAACCGGTATTTAAATTAATTTACAATTAATTTCATGCTTTTTATACACTCAATGAACTTATATATAATTATGTATATGTTTACTGTATAGCAATAATAATAATGAATTAATGATATAATTTGTCATCAAATGCGATGAGGATTTCAATGGTATTGAAGAGTTGATCATTGGTTGAGAAGAGTATTTGTCACCTCAGATATGGTCAGTAATGGATTCATTTCTTTGCAGCCATCCATCATCGCTATACCTCTGAAGTACTCCAACTGCTTAGCCAAGGGTTGCTATCATTGTAGTTATAATAATAGATATTAATTATAATGTAATTATATTAAAATTTTCACAAAAAACAATGCTTTTGAAAACAAAACAGACGAGAAAAATAGTCTTTATGTGAATAAAAACAAAGTGAAATACAGTTCACATAAAAGTGATCGATTGGATGCAAATGAGTGCTGAGAATGAGATGGCAGTCAAGCATATCATTGCATACCTGTATATTGAATGTTAGTGTAGGACTCAAAGAATCTCTAAAAATCTTTTTATCTAAAGAATTAAATCTAATTTATTATCCCATATATAAAAAGGTCAGTTATTGGAAGCAAAAGTTTCATGAAAAGCTTGGACTCCAATAGCAGTAAAAGACTTGTAAAAAGGAAACAATTGATCAAATGAGTGGTCACTTACGGAGATGGGGTCGCCAGTGGCCTATTGTCTCAACCTGCCATCCCTACACAAAGTTATTGCACAAAAATATTCATTACAACAAAAGCCAAACAAAAAAATAGGGTTCAAAAATGTCAAACAAACTCAAAATTGACACCAATATATGAGCAATTCAAACGATTGGCAATAAGTGATACCTCGATAGGGGAGACGTCAGCCGTGGCGTAGGCCTGTGTGGTGTAGCCAGTGATGGGGACACTCATAGGCACCTTAGCACTCGAAGGACTGTGTGCTACCGACGGGTGCGGGGATAATGGCTTCGGGTTGGCTATACTTCCATTCCATTTACAACTCACCACCCGATCGTTTGGCTTAATGTCAGCCCCACTTAACCCATACTTATTCCGGGGGCCGAAGTTGTGGTGATTTGTACCCCACATGAGGACACTCTGTCGCGAATCGATATTATTTGCGGTACTAAACGCCGATAGTATGGATTGGGATGGAGTGGACTGGGATGTGGTGGCAATGGGATGGTCGACCGAGTTGTGATCGTTGCGATGGGATATGGAGTTTGTGGTGAGTAAAGGAAGACTCGCTTTATGTTTGATAACACTGAGACAGTCGTTGGCGCCCGAACTCAGACCAAAGTTACGGTGCGATGGGATGTCTGCGATCTTTGTGTCGGCTAATAATGGCTGATGAATGGTCTGAATGGTTGTCGAAGCACTCATGAGACTACAGGGAGCGGTCGCACCACTCATATATGTGTCACAACAGGAAGTCTTAGGAAGTGTTCTGCCGTTTGTGTTAACCGTTTCACTCATTGAGAACTTGGAGTCATTGCCCATTTGACAGCCGACCCCCATATACAGCTTATCGGAGTTCTCCTTCACTATACTATTGGTGTCGGTGCCATAACCGGGAAAACAATGTGCAGTTCGACTCGTACTCATGTGGTCCAGAAAGCCATTGGTGGGGTATTGGGCCGCCGGATGGTAGTCGGGATAATAGGGTCCCAATGCGTGACGAGAATAATGGAGAAAGTTTTCGGGCGCCAGAAATGGGCGCGAATTGTGGTCAATGGCAGCGGTGAACAGGTTCTGAGGCATAGCAGCCGCTGACACGGCGGCCGCGTATGTGGACAACCCGTTCATGTTGTCTGGATAGGGATACATCCCTGCGTTCTGGTAGCCGGTGGTGGCGCCCACTGCGGCCGCGTGTGTGGCGGCCGTCACTGCGTTCACAGCCGGGCTCTCCTCGAAAGCGGAGTACGGGTGCGGATCGACGCCTGCAGTCATCTTACGTTTGCCGGTCGAGCGACAGGTCGTCACCACATCTCTGACCTGCGATTTGTATCGACGACTCCTTTGACATCGCAGCACAAAATCACTATCAGATAGAAAGCCCGTCCTATCTGTCATGGCTCCCAGGCCTCCGTCCAGATATGTCACCTTGAAATCCATCGTTCGTTTACCTAATAGATCCCGACCCTCCTCTTCCCTAATATTTAAATAAGTGATAAAAATAAATGAATTAATAAATTGGAAATATTTGCAAACTTATAATCAATAGAGTGGTGACTCACATGAGGGGCCTATGAGTGCATAATATGAAGTCTGGTTTACTATTTTTATAGACTAATCGTGCGCTGGTCTGCAACCACTGCCACTTTGTATCTTTGGTCACCAGACGATACGCTATCAGTCCTGAAGCTCCTGTTTTTAGTACTGCCCGTCCATACGATTTATGCAAATATTGTCAATATTCATGAGACAAATGTTTGAATGAGACAAATATACAAAAAGACTCACATTCCTGATGAGCGCTGGCAACATAAGCGAGGTCATCGTAATGGACTAGATCATAACCACCCTTATTCGATAACTCATTGTCGTTGTAACCCAACAGTTGGCGTCCCCTTTGATCCATTGAGACCAAGGAGAGGTCGAGTTTGTGTTTGCTTTTAAACATAGAGTCCTTTTGAGGCATTTCGAGGAGGGATGGCGGACCGAATGGAGTGCAGACAGCGAACAGTGCCAAAGGGGGCTCTTCGCTCTTGTGGTTCTGGCCGTCCAGTACTTTGATCCGACCCCTGATGTCCAACCTCTGCATACAAACACACGTACATACAGATCGTCATTAATCACAATTACTGTGAATCTTATTCGCATAGCATATCATAAATCAAAAGCACATAATTATTAATTAATTTATGCAAACAAAGGGTTTCCATCTAACAGAGGGAACAGAGTTTCGCTTCAAACCGCAGATAACTTAATGTTCATGAGACTTCCTTTCGCCCAGACGTTTATTTTTCAAAGTGAGAAAACAATTTTATCGCGATTTTTATTTTTGTGTAATAAAAATACTTTTCATTAAGAAATTATTGCTAATAATTAAAATGTTGTGCAAATTGCCAGCTTCTCTTTTTATATACATATGCTTTATATACAGCTTATGGGAGTGGACTCACTCTTAGGTATTAATGAGTGAAATATTTTGCGATCAAAAGATAAAAAGTGATAAAATTATATTTTTGTTTATAAATTGCCCATCAATTAGGAAACCATGGCTTTGATCATGTTATTAAAATCGTGACCAACTTTACAAATAATTATCTATAAAATTATAATTTTTAATTAAAATATTTAATATTAATATAAGTTACTGTACTTATAAAAAAGCATTGCATTAAGCTTATTTTTAATCAACATTTAGACAACATCTCTCTCACTCGGTTTATCATTTCTCCAATCATTTTTACAATTAGTTTAATGAATTGTGATATCAATACCTAAGTTTTTATTAACACCAATAAAATTGATTTATATATCTTAACTCAAATACTAATTTATATAAATGTAAAAATTCAAATGATTTATTAGCAAACTAATTTTATAACTTTTGTTTATAAAGTTGTCCAGATTATTCCCTTCCTCATTTTATTTATTCATCTTTTTAATTTATTTACGTATTTATTAATTTACTCATCTCTACATATATGAGTCAACCCTCTCCACTACAACCTTTTTCTAATTTCTAAACACTTCGTCCAATATAATAAACTATTAAGTTATAAAAACTTTAATTATTGGGTTTTCCAGTGGAAACTCTACATTGAATAAAGTTATAATATATGTTATGAAACAAATCAAAAGCAAGCATGAGAGTGAGAGTGAGAGAGAGAGAGAGAGTGAGTCAGTGAGTGAGTGAGTGAGTGAGTGAGTGAGTGAGAGAGAGAGAGAGAGAGAGAGAGACTATGTTATTGGGTATAGTATGTTATTTGATAGAGATATTGAGTATTGAGAGGTTTGGTCACAATACAATATTTTCCCATTAGTAGCGATGTTATCCATAGAAAAGTTTATTTTGCGATACAGTCATTGCACACTAAAATATACAGTATTCAAAACCTTATGTGTATTTTTCATTCATTTTGATCATAAAAGGTATGTTTCCTCCCAATTATTGATTGGTTTCTAAAAAGAAGGAACAGATTGTGTCTAAACTTATTCAGCAAACATTTTTTACTCTATTTATTCATTTTATCCCTTATTTTCTATTACTTTTGATTTGCAAAATTTTTCTGTCCTTCCATTTGTATGATAATTATTTACGTGCGAATAAATGGTAAAAATAGACGCTTCTAGTAATCAAAGTCATTAAACACTCACCAAAAAACCCGATGTATTATCCAATAGACATCTGAACCTAACTGTAAAATTTCTTTCTAATAATTGGCAATTGTCTACAAAAAAATGCAAAAATAACACAAAATTATTGTTTAATTTTTATGTAATGTTTTTTCAGCGTATTTATAAGAATGAGAAATGTTTGACAAAAACCTTGTGATAAAACTTCTTGAAGCGATAGAGAGGATCGATCATTAGGTAGGTGTGAGTTCCACATCAAATGCCTTTGAAGCTCTTCCCTGTCCTCCGAGTGCACCAATTCATAGACGCTTTGATGACAGATATCAGACTAAGAGATAAGAAATAGCGACAAAATTAGAAAAGAAAATCAACACAAAAACAACCAAAACGTGATTTAAAAGGCGGAGAATTTGCTTTTCTCCATAAATCTAATGCTTTCAATGCAAATGAATTGAATTTATGATTAGCTGTAATTCTAAGTAACACTATTATGCTGTCGCCTACCTATCCGTCTCTCTCTCTCTCTCTCTCTCTCTCTCTCTCTCTAATAAAAAATGAATAGAAATGCGATTATAAATGGGAACGATAGCAGGACAGGTGCTAATGTTCTCTTAAAAGTAGTTAGTCTGCACTCTTACATTGTAAATAATAAAATAATATAATATTACAGAATATGAGATTTGATACAATAGACAACAAAAAAGTTTTGGTTTTACTAGTAATTATTAGTAGTCTTAACTCTCACTGTCAGACATAAATTAAATTTCATATTTTATGACAGCATATTGGGGGAAATTTCTTACAATATGTATTGTCAGATATCTAAGGCTATAGAGCTTAAAGGCAAAGAGCCATCATATTTATTGAAAACATTTATTAAACACTGAGCCGTTTATCAGTCATTTTGTATTTAAAGACCTATTTAGGAGCACATTATAATTAACTTTAAATTGTATTTTAAGTAAAGTTTTTAAAAATATATTAACCAGGACTCTAATTAACAATTTGAGTGATTGCCTACACCTTTACCCGTGTATTACATAAGATAATCGGACATTAATTTTGCCAAATTTTTATTTTTAAATTCTTTTGAGAATTAATGTGAAAATTAATTGCTTTAAGATATGTGGTGTTTTACAAGTTACAAATAGCATTTAATAAGTTTATCATAGCATTTAATATACAAAATAGGTTTTAATGTTTATTAAAAAAAGGAAATTTATTGAGAATTATGAGGTTTAAAAGCATAAGACATATAATAGAGTAAATTATGAATGTAAAAGGTACAATCAACAAATACATTTATCACAAAGCAGTGCCAAACAGTAGTTTAATAGTGTAATAGAAACTAATAAGTATAAAAATTTAGTATATAAACACTACTGTATTCAAAGGCGTGTAAATCGGAAGAAAAAAGTTAAAATTTATTTAAATACAATTTGACTCTAATTGTCGTAAATATTGTGCAAAATAGTAAACACAATAAATACTATTTATATACATAATTATATATAATTTATTATGCTTTAAATTGTATTCAGTATTTATTTCAAAAATAAATAAATTGGAAGATTTCTAAAGATTTGAAGGTTTGAAAGAAGAAAATAAATTCAAAAATAGTTGATTACAATTGTATGAAATGAGAAATGCATGCATCGATTGCTACGCCAAACGCCAACATAATTGCAATTAAATTGTATTTTCTTTAATTTATTGCTTAAACTTAAAGGACGACTGCAGACACTACTTTGGCTCACATTTGAGTGCATTTTTATTTGATGTAACTTTTATTTCACTGTTCACTTTTTATTATGATTTTTGACATAAATTAGTTTATCATATCCGTTTACTAAAAAACTTTTTAGTTTAATTATTTTTTCCAAAAATAGACTACTTGTATAAATGAAAGTATCTAGACTCTAGATTCTAGAGAAAGGATTAAGTTATATAATACATACATGTAATAATTGATTCATAATAAACAAGAAAACTTATTTCCCAATATACTGTATATTAAGCTTATATTGATATAATTTATTACTCTTAATTTGTTGATCTTAAATTATTAAAAAGGGATATAGAATTGATATGTATATAATATTTACTAGATACCCCACATGTTAGTTATATAATGTATAAAAACACTACATAAAATTGACAAATTCACTTATATCTTATATAATATCTTTAGATAAAAAATTAAAAATAATTTAAATAATAACTAAATGAATAAAACATAAGAGAAAAATGTATGAATTAATTAATTCATATAAAAAGTTAGTGCGCCGAGACCCGGGATCGAACCAGGGACCTTTAGATCTTCAGTCTAACGCTCTCCCAACTGAGCTATCTCGGCTCATAAGTAAAAGGCACACATTTTGCCAAAGGCTTGCAAAGGCTCTACAAAGTGTAGGCATTGCAGTGCAGCCATACATACACTCAATTATTGTATAATATGAATAGGTGAGTTGTACGTAATATACTGTACCTGTGCTACACTCTCACAATACCCGTACAATTCTTTCACTATTTAATTAAATTATATATAATATTATAATAAGCAAACTAGTTTTAAATTCAAAATAACTTTTATAGTATAATATTAAATATACAACTATTTTGTTACAAGTTACTAGTTTTTACTCTCACTATCAGTTTATTGCCATAATTTTAATGACATGAATATTTATAATTAAACAAGAATTGCATTATATTTGTTGAAACAATATAATGACGGTAATGATAGCTAAAATGAATTGACTGTTAAGGTGTCGGTGCTCTTCTCTCTGACACTAACTAAAGGTTTTTTGCACTCCTTTTTGGCAAACTTTAGGCACTTTAGACACTTCACGCCCTTATTTCTCACTCTCTTTTTACCTGTTTTTCGATAATAAAATATAAATTTAAGTTTAGTGTCGCATATGTATCACACATTTAGCTGTTGGCAACCGCTAGTTTCAAGTTGTTTTACATACAATAATAACAATAATAAAAACAAAAATAACTTTTTTCCTTACCAGTTAACTATAAGTATAGAGCATTAAAAGTTAATATTTTTTTGTGTCCATTTACCGGTAAATAAGTGGCGAAAATGTTTGGGAAAATTATATTTAATTTAAGACTTGTTTTGAGTAAATTTTTGGGTGAAAATAGCATTTCGTTAAATATGCGATACTGTATATTAAGAGTAAAGTCGTTCTCTACTAAAAACTTATTATTTTTTGTTTCAAATTATTACAAATCCTCAAATTTAATTAAGATTTTTGTGTTGTTTTTATTTATTTTTCGGAAGATTTAGTGTTCTTAAAAAATCTTAACATAATATATTAGCTATCTCAGGTTTTGTCTAAAAATTCTCTCTCTCTCTCTCTCTCTCTCTCTCTCTCTCTCTCGTTAGTAACTGATGTCGGCATTCATTCATTTATAACTAATTTATAAAATGTGTTCAAATATTTTTTGACTTCAAATACTCAAATCTAAGTGAAAAATAATTTTGTTTTAAGTCAAAATTGACTGATTATTTGTGAGAGAAAGTGAGCTATAATTACTAATTAGTGTATAGTATTCGGTGTATTATTCGAACACTAATTAGAAATACATTAGATTTGCAATTATAATCTCAATTGTATTGAGTTTTAAAAATACAAAACAAGAAATATTTTGTTTCAAATGAGTTCAAAACATAAATGATTTTTGTTTCAAACGACCAAAAAATGAATAGAAATTGATTTTACCGGTACTTTAAGATAAGTTTGAAAACAGAAGCACTAAATGTCATAATAATAAGTATAATATTTTTTATTTTGATCGATTGCTAACTCATAGCAAACAATTAAACTTTATTCAAACTTAAAGGACAAAAAAATAATAACAAAACTTTATATACAGTAAAGGAAAAATTAAATCTATCAATTGGTGTATAAGTATGTTTTGTATTATGTTATATCTATATATTATGATAAAATTAGTCAGATATGAATTAAATAGTATATATATATATATATAGAGAGAGAGAGAGTATTTAAAACAAAATCTTACAGCTGTTAATAAACTTATTATTTAATATAAATGAAACTGTTATTTGAATGAAAATGGTCATTAATGAGATCATAAACCAACAGTGGTTTAGAATAATAGAACTTGAAAACATATTATAAGCAAATACACATGTAAACAGTATGACATACTGTAGTACAGAAACAATGATAAAAGTAGTGATTACCTGATGAAAGCCTAAATATGTTTCGACTGTATGTGAGGTATAGAAGACCTCTCCATCGCAGGTGAGTATTAGTAGAAATCCGTTTAATGCCTGAAAAACAATCAAATCATTATTCACTAGTCATTAGATTAATACTAATTACAACTTTTTTTTATTGTTTATAAGATTTTTCAATTATAAATACATTAATCACATGAAAAGTGTGTACACTATTACTACAACCGCTTAAATCATATTCAAATGTATGGATAATTATTATTTGTGATCAGAATATTCATTAATGTAAAAGAATTTTTGGGAATATTTATTCCGTTGAGTTTTGGTAGAAATTCATTTAAATAGTCATTACCAACATGCAAATAATGGCACAAATGTTGGCGCAAAACAAATAAATTATATAATAATAATAATATGGAAAGAGATAGTTTATTATTAAACACAATATGATTGCAAATGAAGAGAAATATCTTTTTGTATCATTCATCACATGCCAAACAATCCATTAAACAGTGATTACAATCACATTCATATCACTCACACATAAAGTAATGTGAAAAATGAGAATTAAAAATAAAATGTCATTAATATAAAGTATATACTATAGTACAGTACACGGCATTAATACTGTATTCTATACAGTATGACTTAAAAAGTATATCCAGATTTAAAAGAATTTGTAATTAGTTACCATTTTTTGGCTAAATTTAATTGTTGTAATAGTTTTACAGACAGTAATATATCATCCAAACAAATGACAGCAAATGACACTGAAATACATATTTCTCTAACAAGGCTTACAGACGTATATATTGTATACCATTTTATTGTATAAATAGGACTTCAATTAGTACTGCATTTAAATAATTTCGTTCACAATTATTATTACAATTATTTCATATTAGGTTATGCTTTGAAAGGCATCTATTAGGTTCTCTATGATTGTTGACAAACTATACAGTAATAGGTAGGCGCTCTAAATGCCATTCCTCCACTTATTTTGTATTCAATATGTGTATGTGCTTTGTTTCTCAGCAATTTTTACCAACATTACATGTAACTATTTATGTTACTAGTATTACTATTACAGTATATTTTTTATTACAATTATATTGTATATAAATACTGAACAAAATTGCATAAATACATACATATTGTTGTTTATAATATAAATTATGTAATACTTTCAATTATGTCACCCATTCATCAAATAAATGCCAAAAACTATTAATTTTCTAAAATATGACCCCGAATAGTACGTCATTTACCGTGAAATTTAATTTTTTAAAGATTTATATTCATATCAAGCAATCAAATTCATATCTGATCTCTCTCTCTCTCTCTCTCTCTCTCTCTCTCACACTCACTCACTCACTCACTCACACACACACACACACTTTATAAGTCTGTCTTTCTTTCTAAAAATATTGGCTTTCTTTGGGAACACAAATTGAAAGCAAAAGTTATGCAAAAGAAGGAAATAAAGGCATTAAATGTAAAAGTTATGGACTGAGAACTTGAAGGACACACCTATAAAACTAATCTAAGATTCATAAGTGAAAAATATTTTATGGGAAAAATATATCAAACGTTAATAACATTGAAATTAATGGATTATTGATCTATCATTTGGTAGGAAAAGAATTGATCGAAATTTATGTAACATTTTTTCATCAATATTCAATGCCTGTACACATTAGGAGCGAAATTGTTTTACAAAATACAAATTTCAATTTTTCTAAAATATATTTTTCTTATTTTCTAAATAAATTGGACTATAATTTATATAAGAATTTTATATAAATCTACAAAATAAGGGAAAATAAGAAAGAAATTGTTTGCAATAAATTGAAAAAATGTGATAACTTTGTCGGTGTTCTCTCTCTCTCTCTCTCTCTCTCTCTCTCTCTCTCTCTGTTGCCACTCATAAGCAAAATGATTGAGGAATTTGTTGGGAAAAGTAATTTATATTTTCCAAATCTTAGAAACTAATTTTACACATAATATACACTACAAGTGAACAAATGTATGTCTCAAACAAATTAGACAAATTGAGTTATAAATACAGTTGTGTTTTAGTTTTCACTTAATTTTTACATTTCAAAATATTTTAAATAAAATATCTTAATTCTACATTTACAAATGCATTATGTTTTGTTGTAAATTATATAAAATTATTAGTTTTAGATACAGTTGCACTTTTCAATTGTATTTATTTCTCTTTTGGACTACGTTTTGTGGACAATTACTACAACTGTTATTAAATATAATATTTAGTATGCATATCATGCACAACACGTTTGGCTATAATTTATTCATAAAATTGTCATCCCTTTGAATACTGAATAGATACCGACAGTAGAGAAATCGATAACACTCTACAGAGTCTATAGACATACATGTATTTGATCATTAATGCAAAAAATTAAAAATTATACGTTTTCAGTGGTCGTTCATACAATTAATGGGAATTAGTTTAAGTGTCGACACAATATAATAATGAGCCAGTAGAAATTGAGGGAAATAGCCGACAAATACACAACACAAATGAATGTTTCTAATGATAAGAATGAGGGACTCAAATATACAACTGTCCGGAAACAAGTGTTTGTCTCATATCTATTCACATCCTAACAAAATATTTTCTGTTTCTTTATTTTTTATCATAAAAGTCATTAAAATACTAATCGAGTAATAGAAAATAGAAAGTCAGCTGTAAATGAGAAATACGTACAGAAATTAACGTAAGTGAGAGTTAGTGTCAAAGGGAGGACTGGTATATAAATTGATGTAATATTCAGTAAGTATTTGAAACGGATTTCACTACAAACTTGTTATGCGTGACTGATTGTGTGCGACAATTGTTAAGGTCAGCACATATTACTTTCCAAACTCCATTCTCTCTCTCTCTCGCATACAATAATATCACTTATTATTATAGAGTGAATGCTTTTGTATTGTGTTGTCATAATAATGTTTTATATTATTTTAGAAAAATTACAATAAGTTTGAGTGAAGTTATTCATTGGGGAGTAAAAGTGGGCTGAATTTAGAAAAAATTAATTCTTTCTATATTTTTAACAAAAAAATACTTGACTTCCGTTTTATAGCCAATTCAATCACAAAAGCCATCAATAGGGCGGTCGACGGGAATTGTTGTTAAAAGTTATGCTCTTTTACAATAAAGTTACACTATAATTGTGTATAAAAATAGACATTTCGCTATAGAGTTTTAGGCGAGAGATTATTTTTTTTGTATTTCTATGGAAACAAAGACATTTGTTATAAATGGACTCAAATTATATAAGAATTGAATAAACATTTTATAATAAGAACATTATACAAGAGTTAGCCATTTGTAGTACTCATTTGCAATCATATATTCAATTATGTTAATAGAAATAAAATTATATTACTAGTACTCTATTATAAAGAGTCCGTACAGTGTATATTGACGTTCATGTCATTGAAGTGAATATCACATAAAAAGTCAATATGAGTATCAAATAGTCTGAGGGAAGTCTATGTGAATGAATGGAAGGGCAGTACACTCTATGATAAAACGAGTGGAGTTTGAAATAAAAACTTTTTCCATATTAACAGAGAAAGCAGATCGATATTCTATAGTAACTCAACCATTAATATAATAACTATATATTTGATCACAAATTAAATGCATGTTTGTTTGGCTCTGTGTTTACCTGGAGTATGAGATCGCCCTCCATTAGGGCTTCGGGATACAGGAGCTCACGGGGCGCTGATTTGTGGTGAGCCATCGACTCGTGAATACCTTGTCGTTCGCGCTCTTTATGTACGGCAACTGTAATGAGAAGAAACAAATGAAAATATAATATTTTTTCGTATTAAACAATTGTCTCAAATTACTAATAAATGTAAGTTTTAAATAACATAAACATATTTAAACCTAATATAATTATAGAGTTTAAATGACAATCAGTTTAAGTGATGATTATTTTTGTTTAAAATGACAAACAGTTAGGAAAATATAAATTAATTCGTAATTACTTTTAATGATTTTTGTGATTTAATTATACAAATGAATGTTGTTTTTTGGAAAGTGTGTTTAGAATGAGAGATAATGGAAAGACAAATGAGTGGATAATATATATAAATATAATATATATTTAGATATTTAATATTTATTTATGAATGACATGTCTTCTTATCACACGATTTATGGCATTATATCAACAAAAACTGACAATAAATGCATTACACTATTAAATATTGAAAATATTTATCAAATACTTGAATGTGTATTACATAGAGAAAGAAAGAAAGAAAGAAAGAAAGAAAGGGAGAGAGAGAGAGAGAGCATATCATCAAATGAGACAAAGACTGATCACTGACTTGAATGACTGTAATTGAGAAATACATTAATTGTTAACTAGTTTTACAATTATACGGCTCAATATTTATAATAAAAATCAAATGATTTATGATTTGAATAGAGAATAAATTGAATGGAAATGAACAGTATAACATATAACATATAACATATTATGAGGTATAAAACGCGTGTTCAATGGGAAGGTTGTGACTGGTGTTGTTGGTGGCAGTGGTAACAGTGCCTAACAATTGTCTAATAAGGGCTAACATTTGGAACCGAAAGCTCTATTCAATACCTGTGCATTGTTTAACACAATGCCATTATTGTTAGTTATGTATCATTTCAGTCAATTTGTTGGTTCCCTACATGGGTTCCATACACTGGTCTACCCAACAGTCCCCACCATTATATTGGCGGTGCGGAGACTGGGGCTCAACATAATAGAGCACAAGTCGAGTCAAAACACAATAAAAGCTTTCAGTGTTATCATTGAATACAATACGAGAATTATATGCAATACAACAACAATATAAGCAATAAAAATATACTCTACTCTTCACTACTATACTGTACATCAGTACTGAACTACTCTACAGCGTATAGACTGTCTGTGAGTCCACTTTCTATCTCAATGTTCATAATGTGATGCATTGCACACACAATGACAGTCAACGTAAATATAATGGAAATTATAATTATTTTATGTCAATCTGTAGATAATAAACACTAAGAAGATTACACACCAATGTAAGATTGATTCCGATCCACATTTATTACAGTCTATTCATACACCTCTTTAAATCGTTGATTACTTTTCACAAAATAATTCAGTCCTGAAATGACACTCCATTGCAATACTGAATGATTGGGTGTATATTGCATTGAACACTCAATTATTGATTACATCGTCAACAAAATGATATATTGTTTCTGTCAGCAAATTATTTGTTTAAAAATAAAGCATATTTTTGTTTTTTGATATACATGTGAATCAATAACAAAATATAATAGGATATAAATTATTGAATAAAATTTCCTGTGACTGCATTACAATATTAAAAACATATTAAAATTCCCGCATTCAATACACTTTTAATGGCACTCTTTCGGTGAGAATATAATGAATAGAGAGATAGAAAAATTCATTACTAATTCTCTCTCTCTCTCTCTCTCTCTCTCTCTCTCTCTATGTTTGTGTTTAATTAATATTTAGGATTGAGTGGAAGTCTATGTTTTTATACAATATATATGTGTATCACAGATCGAGTATTCACTTATTTTTAGGTTTCTTTCATGCATACAATATTAGGCTCGGGATCTGAGTCACTACACCTGCATATTATGGTATATTCGCTGCGGAAAGGTATGAAACTCAGCCAACCATCAGTGCATATATTGCGAGCGCCGGCTCCAGAATATTGTGAACGGCGACGAGAATAAGAGTTTTCATAGAGAACTGTCAGCTTTCAGTATAATTTGAACCCAATGTATGGGTAGACTGTGTGTAGTGGTGATAATGGACTAGTATTTTATTTATGAGATATTGGTTAACGGATCTGCTCTATAATTGTGACCATTACTACACGACTTATGCTTCACATACATTTATAAATATGCAAAACAAAAAGTATATTTAAATCAATAGACAAATGAATATAATTTATTATGTTTCCCATTACTTCCATTTCCATAATACAAATACACCATATATTTGAATAATATTATTTAAATTTTAGTTACAAACACATGTGCTGAGAAATCACTTGAAAATAAACTCAATTTATAAATAGACAGAAATATAAATATTGAAAACTAATTCAATGAATGTAAATCGATCCATAAGTGAAAACCAGTTATAAAAATAAGCAATAACTTAGTTTTCAAATTGAAATTAAATAAACTATATGTTTGTAGACTTATGTAGAAAAGAGATATTTTTCATGTACTAATCAAGTCATGGGAAAGGGGTATAAATTATACGTTTTTATTGTTAAATAATTTAAATAAATTATAGTTCTTTTAAACATTAATAATAAAAGTTTATTAATATTTTTGCTTTTATAATATGAAAAGCAAACTAAAATAAATAAAAATCAAAACCAAATATTTAAAAACATTTAATAAATTCGGTTCAAAGAGTTATAATTATTGTGAATTAGGTTGGATTCCCATAGAAATGTCTACAAAACAAATGTTTTTTTCTGTATTATATTTTTCTTAGTGTTTAGTGTTTTCCAAACGACTGTTGAATCCATTTATGAGTTAAGCATTAAATATGATATTCAGGAGAAACAAAAAGCACACGAAATCGCGTTCACAAAAATCATTACTTTATATGTGATGTCATTATTATTTTGTTGATTATGTAATTGAATGCTAAATGATAACAATTTGCATACCATAACAATTAATGGTAAACACACAGACACTCATAGAGAGACTGTGGGATGTCATCCACAGTACCACAACTGATCACTAATGCAGACAAAGAATTAGTAAGAAAACAAAATTGTCAAAACATTATTGAAATGAAGATATTTTAGAAATTTGTGCCCTAAAGACGCATATTGTGATGCGATGACAGAGTGGTTGACATTTGACAGCATATCAGCAAAACCTATCAACAGTCAGACCATTCATCACCACTCTTGTGGTTAGGCTTTAAGTCTTATCAGCGATAAGAAATTCAGTCACAAAAAAGTCATATTTTCAATCAAATTAAAAGCTATCGATTACTTCATGCCATTTAACATAAGTAGAGAAAACAGTTTTGATTTGAGAAAATATTTCTCTCTATAGATATGGTGTTTAGGCTTTGGCTTAAACACGAGTGCAGACATTGAACGCCCAAATGAGGACTCCATGTATTTGGAAGGCGACAACAAATAAGCGCTGAAAGGCATATTATGCACTCAACTGTCAATCAGTGCATGAGTCTCAGCTAATACTGTACTGACATTTGCATTAAATACAGACCAGAGAGTGAAGACAACTCAATCAAACATCTCATTTGATGCACAGATATGTTCACATCAATTCTCTCTCTCTCTCTCTCTCTCTCTCTCTCTCTCTCTCCCTGTCCACCATTCAGCTACTGTTTCACTTTAATAACACACCAGTAGTTATATCAATGACAAGCACTGGTAATAAAGTTATGTAAGTTTTTAGTATTGATTTTTTCAAAAGCAAACGTTTCATCTGATATAATAGATCTAACTATTAATTATGATCGACATTACCGGCCGTTTTCTAATCGTATTTTATTTTTGTTCAACAACTCTGAAAACTTAATCGTCAAATCAAATGGTATTTTCATTAGTTTCAAAACATATATTTTTATTTAACGTGAAAACTTGTCGATAGTTTTAATATTATTAGTAGAAAAATGAAAAATATGTTATTTTTGATTATCTTTACAATTATCTAAACATTAGTTTAAATTCAATGAACTTTTAATTCTATAAATTCTTGAATTATTCGATGCGTTCACTAATTTGGTGATTCATACAAATGACAAGAATTTCATATTTTTCGAGACAAATATTTTTTTGGTGACAAAATTGTTTCGGATTCAGTTAAACGTGAGAATCAAATAAACTAAATATTCTCATCATTTATTAAAAGTGACTCCAAGACTAACCTCTCGATCCATCACTGATTATCTATAATTGAAAACAAGTTATGATATATTCTGAACAAAAATCTCAAAAATAAAGTTATATTTAGAATCACCTTAAATATAATTATTAAATTAAATATGTGAGACATTTGTAAAATACAAACTTGTATTCTCATTGATTTATGAATGCAATCAATAATTACTGAATTTCTTATAATTTATAAATTAGATAAAAATGAAATTCACTTTCTATTGCTTTCTCGGAAATCTCTAACCTAATCACAATCATATGAATTGCAAAATTTGATTAATGAACGAATAATTAGTTTTGGTTATCAATTAGTCATTTCAATAATTGATTGTCTTATTTAAAGGTATTTAGTAAATACTATTTACTATAAAGCTCCTATTATATATATGCAACCAAGAAATCCTAATAACAGCATATCTACAATATTTCATTATTTTTATACATTTATTAAATATAATAAATTCAATCAAAATGAATGGCAGATAGTATTATGGTTTAGAAAAATATGAATTGAATTCAGATTTCGATTTGTATTACAAGAAATAAGCAAGTTTTTAAATTCAATTTATACTAGCATTATTTGCACGTTTTAATCGAAAATTGCACAAAAACACAAAATAATTATCTATTTATAAAGCATATAATGTGCTGTCAATCAAATAAAAAATATTTAGTTATGTGAGTCATATGCAATTTACACCAAAAATACTTTATCTAAATTATAATACTTTCTGTTGACTACTCTCAAATATTCAGACAAACTAAGAAAATCGGGTTTTTTTGTAATATCCAATAACAATGTGTATTTTGTATATCGAAAAATATAATATATTATGACTATTATTTTTAATTTGTGTTTGAATTAATTTCATTTGAATTCATTACAATTGATATTCATAACTATGGACAATCCGTGCAATGAATACACAATTACATGAATTCCGTAATATTATTTGTTTCGTTATATAAATTTAGATTTTATTTAAAGATACATTTCATGAGATTTGATTCAATGATATCTATACAAAATGCAATCAATTTGAGAAAAAGTAGATTCTTATCTAACCCACCAAACGATTAGTGGTCCCCATAATTAGAGGCCTAGTATTTCAGACATTCATTCACTAATTCAGAAGTTTTTCCAAATGTTTTCTACTCAATCAATGATTGGACAACACATGAAGAGAGAGACAAATCTTGTATTAATTGTAGACATTATATGCAAGAAGACCTTAACGACAAAAAGAGTTAATTTCAAAGGAAATAATTAACGCAGAAATGATTGAGAAAATACCCAAAAATATTAGGCCCATAAATGTCAGGTTTTTAAAAACCAAAAATATTGTCTATTTCTCTAACCCTTCCGTTGCCTTCAAAAAATATTTTTGCTAATTATATCGGAGTATATCCCAGGAATCACATGAGAACATGTGAATAGAGAAACAATTTTCTGTAACCAAAACATAACATTAAATGCTTTAATTTGTACGAAAATTAATGTATAATTTTGTGTCGTCGTCTATTAAAAATAGATTTAATACTAAATAATTACTTCATTTGAATATTTCTGTCAATATTTAATTGATAGAAACACTTTGAATGATAGCAATGGAGAGTTGATTTTGGGATGCATTTCAATAATAGAGCAAATGTTGTACACCGGGTGTGGAGAGTGTGTGGGAATTGAGGGACAAAAATAAAATGTTTGCAAAAATCATGTATTTATCGGTCTCTCATGGAAATGAATATTTGATGGTATGGTATGGGGTTGTAAAAGTTTTGGTGAGTAACATTGGAAAGGCAGTCAACCTTAAAGATTAAGCTCTGGACCTTTTGTAATATAAGTGAGAAAATTGTGTATAAAAATAAAATGAATGCCAACAAAAAATTGTTAAGTTTGTACAAAGATATATTACATAAATTTCATGGAAGCAATTACAATTACTTTCTTATATTAAGTTAATATTGATCTTATATAAGTTATAATTGAAAGACTTATAAATACAATAATATTAACTTAGTATCAGTAATTTAAATGATAAATTTGTTTATTTTAATTAGTTCATAATATCTAATAATTTGGTTGTAGTAGTATATAATAATTGTTAGTACTGTATTATATAATAACTTACTGTTATAAAAGATATAACCTTTTATTACGAGACTTTACATTGCAATCAGAATATTGTGTGACAATAAAATAAGAGAAAATGTTATTTTCAAAGAATATGTTTTCATTTGTATTGATATTTGCGTGAATTGGAGTGATTTGGGGGAATGTCCTAAAAATCATACTATGAAATGACTATCATTTATTGACACAACGATTGTCTTTTGCACTACTATTGCACTACTAGTGACTGCACACATACTTTAGATGGTCGGACAGGTATTTATTGTAGAGCATATCAAACTGTATAGAGTTACTGTAAAAAGTATTTAATCGCGTGTTTGGACTCATGGATACGATGCTCAGGGAATGGTAGGCAATGGTTATATAATAATATAAAAGCACATCTAAATAATATATGAATCTTTAATTTTGCGACCAAATCACACAATTTATAAAAGGGGTTCAATGGTTAGGATGTAAGCGATGTCCAAATGTAAGTATGGTATGTAAAATATCATACCCTCTGTCTATATGCATATATACGATATATGGTGTGTGTCTGTAATGGTTTTGACGGATAAAAATGATTATTTTGGTGTATATTCCGTGACTACAACAGCACTTTACGTGACAAAAACATTTTGTAAGAATTATTACATCAAATATCGTCCAATTGGTGCTACCTTTTTGACTCAAAATCATTGTAATCATCACGAAATCACAAATTCATTGCACAATCATTAACATTGAATACATTGAATATATACCGTATTATAACACTTGAACATACAATGCATACGAATAGCGCAACAATTATCAAATTATTTCACCAAATAATTTACTCTATTTTTTGCTTACTTTTCAACTGTTTTTACAATGAATTCCTTAACAATATTTTCAAAATTATTTTCTCACACAAACAGAAGCACAATAAAAATGATATTTTTCTTAAATTTTGTTTATTTTTATATATAAAAAGTAAAATAAATCAAATCACTGCACAATATATACACATAAAACAACTAGAGTTAACATTAAATTAGTTTTGATATGAATTATATTTGTTTTAAAAGGCATAACTCTTATCTAAAAGCGTGAGAATCAAGAAAATACTGAATAATTCATTCAAATTGTTTCACTAAAATGTGATATTTCTTTGGATAAAAGGAGTTCAGAAAAGTCGTGTCATTTTGTTTTGTATAGAAATTAAGTGCAAATTATATATAAACTTAAAATAATTGTCTTAAACAATAAATTTATATGTAATATACTTTTCACAAACATACATTAATCCATAACTACTGTATATAACTATATGAGATTAAAACGGGAAATACAATGTAATGTTAATAGTTGTATGGATTCTATACTATGGAATGTATTTTAGCATAACATTAATGCAATGTATTAGTAATAAAGCAATAATACTGTGTTTAGAGCTAGAAATCAGTGATTATCTAATTTTGGTGCTTTGTATAGTCGAGTATATATATCGTAGATTTGTTATTCACTAAATTTATTGTCTGAGCCATCAATTTGCCATCAGAGCGCCTACACTGATGACAGTGCGAGGCATAAAATGGTAGGTACGGCACACCGTAGTGAGTACTCTACTAATGGAAAGCATGGCTTATATGGTGTTCACAAGCAATCAATGAGATGATGGAGACTCAACTCAAATCGCAGTGAAATACTTGTGCGCTTTGAGTGATGCTATCAGAGCACAGACACAGAGCAATGCACCCGAAGGGGAGACCCAGTGCTGCACAACACCTCCTCATCGACCACGCCTTCAGATGAGCAGATGTACTCACTTTTGGACACTAATATCACAGTATATCATATACTATGAGATCATACTCATCAACAAACATGAGAGAGAGAGAGAGAGAGAGAGAGAGAGAGAGAGAGACTAAATTAGATGAACAATATATAAAGAATGGAAATCATTACAGAATATACAGTATACTGTACTGTAGTTCACTGAATAGTAATATTCTCTGATATAATATCTAATTCTCTAATATAATATAATATAACATAATGTAATGCAGGGGACAGGAATTAATGTAGTACTGTACTGCTGGTATGATATGGTAAGGTATGGTAGGGTATGGGACGTGAACAGTGTTATTGTCCATTTACGGCCTACCCGTGCGTAACCGTGCATCCAAAGAGTGAGACAAAACTTTCACTATATGCCATACCTTTTTAAGCATATATTTATTACTTATAGAATACGACTACTACTCAATGCATTATATTTTGGGACATGTATTAGATGTGAACCAAGACTGCGGTCTATAAATTAACAGAGAGTTAGTGATAGAGTCAACCAAACAATTGTGTGAATTATATTAATAGTCAAATTCATGGCTCGACGCTAATAAATAATTATAAAAAATTAGTTTAATTCATTTATATTTTTAATTATATTTAGTAAAGGCTCATGTTGTGAATGGATATGGCTTTGAGTAATTTTGCTCGCATTTTTAAAAAAATAATTAACCAAAAATAACATTTTGAATGTTATATGAAAAACATAGCCAATAGTATAATAAAATAAACGAATACAATAGGTATGGGATATCAAATAAAACGATGACAATCATAAAGTTTTGTATTTTGTGAACGTGTTATACATGAATAAAATACTCACAATATATAGCCATGAATTAGTCGGAGAGAGGGGTGGGTCCACATCAAGAAACAATTCAAATGCCAACTTATACTCAATAATATCGTATATTTAGCTTTTTGTCTCGATTCAAACAGTATTTTTTCAAATAAAAAATGCTATACAGTACTGTATTCATTTTTGTTAGTTATTGATTGATCAATAAATAGGTATAAAAATAATATGTTTCTATAGTATTACATAACACACTCTCCCTATGAGTACTCTATTATATAATAAACGTATTTTCAATGACTATATTCTATACCATTAGTGCTCTTAATATTTAGTCTTTTATCAGATTTAATATTACAATTGCTTTCACTATTATTTCGATCATTAGTTTCTGTCTCTCTATTCATGGAAACAATGTATGTCTGTATTATTAAAAACTTATGACAAATAACTTAATAAAAAGCGTTCACACAATAAATATTTGTGATTCGAGTCAACATTCTATACACAATCGTTGTCATCACTATTAATATCACATTTTATTCAATGCCTTTCAATATAAATATACAGAATTTAAACATTTGTGTCATACGAATAAGACTAGCCAAGTAATTATAATTGCAATAGCTTTATTGAATACTACTAAAAGTAAATATTGTATATAATGTACAATAAAACAAAAGGTGAACACAAAAATAAAACGATAGAATAGTTCATAAAATTCATGAAACATTCATAAACTTACTTTTATATTTCTTATAAGGATACTATAATATGTTATCCCCTAAACTAATTATTATACAGTGCTGTCTGTTGTATTGCAGTTAAATGCAATGATCCAAACCCATACCCATGAGTGCAAACAACTCAAGTATAACATACAGACAATGTATGCGATAATAAAGAATATTAAACTAAGTTTTAATATAACACAACACATATAATTAATATTTTATAATAATATAAAACAGAGTACAGTGAGTGAGAGAATTAAAGGGAGAATATAAGAATATTTCAATAAACTAATATCCTATAAAAGGTTGTGACAAAATTAAACATTTATGTTGTTGTTTTGTAAAAATTGTCAACACTAAAGTCTAAAATAGTAAAAATAAAAAATTTTAAAATGTTGTTTAAAAATATAATGTTTTCGCATAAGTTTCAAATGCTAAACGGATATATTGTATTATATTAAATACAAAATAATTGCTTAAAAAGGAAAAAATTATGAGAAATTTATCAGAGAATGCCTTAATGTATATATGATCACAATGTATGGTATGAATGTCTGATCGCTTCTCCCATCACATCAAAAAACATACGTTCCTCTGATTTTCTTTGGGCTACAATACATACATATATTATAATACCTGTGCGCTCAACATAACACAAAAGGTAAGAATTTAAATCTCATTTCAAGCTTTGACTCATTCACTCATTCGAGTTATTTTGGGTTTTGATGGCTATTATTGCTCTCATTCTATGTTTCACTCATACATTCATAGCCTATCTACAAGTGTGGCAGCGCTGGCAGTCGACTAATTACACCTGAATGACATCAACGGCATTACAATATGAGAGAGAGAGAGAGAGAGAGAGTTTTTTGTATGAAAATGAGGGGTGTTTTGGCGAGCGACGGTGTGCTGTCTATGCTGTGGGTTATCGTTAGTCGTGTCAAATAAAATGATTGATGAGTGAATTGACGTGAGGGTCACAGCCACTGGCACTCAACCAAACCAACACTAGAATCACAGCCAACACTACATTCACATCACAGCCGGGTATTCACTATTACACTGGAATTACAGCCCAAACACAAACACCGAAGAAATTGCAATGAGAATAGCAAATGGGTATACAATGAGAATCGAGAATCCCATAGACTTTGTGTCTCTCTATGCGAGAGAGAGAGAGAGAGAGAGAGAGAAAATTAAAAATTATTGCACTCCTCTATCATTATAAATAAGAGAATTTATGTTAGGCATAAAGTTTGCAAAAATATTAAACCAAATGTGTATTAACTTTCAATTCAATAGATTTCGATTACAAAGAAATTAATCAAAAAGAAATTATTGGCATTTGATTGTATGGATTGTGTATAAGAATAGTATTCAAATGAGATTTCATAGCAAACCAATCGATCTTAATATGCAAACTAATACTCAATATTTTGAAATTATTGATTACTTTTTATTTCAGTCGATAAGGTTTTCATTATGAATGTCAACATGTTTTGTTGTTTATGTAAAACACTGCTAAATAGTTCACCACTTTTTAAGTAACTATTATTTATACAGTTTTGCTCTTTTCAACGAAAACTAATCACAATTTTCTTATAAGATCTCTAAAATAAGAGGGTTTGGCGTCTCATAAAAATGATATACATATCCAATCATTTGTGCTGGAATTCTGTACAAAACGGAATTCATATCTAAACCACTATTAGGGAACCTCTCATCAAATGAATAGAAACTTTTTCTTATTTATTTGCACTTAATTTGCAGATTTGACCTCTTCTTCTGACAGCAACCAATTATTTTCAAGCAATGATATGTTGCCAATAGCTCTCTCTCTCTCTCTCTCTCTCTCTCTCTGCCGTACTTCTCTTGAAAACTAAAATGTGAGTTATTTTTATTTGATTGTAAATGAGAGCAAATTTGTATTATTTTGTATTTAAACCGAAAGCGCCGGTGGTTTATGTAATGCAAGATAAGGAAAACAGATATCATTGCTTATGAATGTTGTTTCAAAACAATACCTGTAATGTCTGTTTCGTGAATACTTACGAAATGATTGGCAATTAATTTTGTTTTAAAACTTTTCAACTAAAGAGCTATTATTAAATCAAATATCTTTTAAAACATTATTTATTACTCAGTTATTTAAAAGCTAATATTATTCAATAAATTTAGTTTTGTTATCAATTCGTAGAATTTCATTGTTTTATGTCTACAAACCTCTCTCTCTCTCTCTCTCTCTCTCTCCACTATTTCATTGAGTCATACATTTGTTATTATAATTTAAGTCTCGATTCTCATTAAAAATGTATACGAAATAAGAAAAACAAATTAAAATATAAATCAATAGTTTATAGTGAGAGCAATTGAAGTGTCAGTTAATAAATTTTATGATTAAATTATGTCTTATATTCATATCAAATGTATCATAAAATATGAAATAATAAAGAAAGATAACTAAATATTATAAAGAAATATTTAAGTGTTCAGGGAACAAAAGCTGCCACAACCGCTCATATCATGACCTGACACACTGGCCAATGAGTTGCACTGCACCTGCCTTTCCAAATAGTTTACTGTAATTTCGTGTATATCATACATATAAGAGATATGTATCTGTCTCTTAAAGCCTACACTTTTTTCTTTATACGCTATAATAAAAAAGGTAAAAAATAGTGTTTGTGTTTTGAATTGATTTTTGTTTCTCATTCTCTCACTCTCTTATACATGTTATCATAGATTGTCTGCGAATATAATTTTGTTTTAAATAAAAAATATGACAAAATTATTCTGACATTTCATTTCTCGCGTTGGGCTTACAGTTTGTCTGCACTGTCTATATCTGTCGATAAGAACTCATGAGTGAACACAACCACTCTTATATCAAAAAATAAATTTCTTTAGATTTTATACAAAATATTGATTTCACTTATTGAATATTAGTTCAATTTTCTATTAGAAATAAAATTCTTGGAAATATACTGTATTACATAATATTATATTATAATATTGTCATATTGTTTACAATTTATAAACACACATATTTAACATATTTATATGATAATATGCAAGCAATGTATACTGTAAAATAATTAATTGAAAACAGAAGTTCATAGACATAGAAAATATATAATTTCTAAATGAAATCATTTTATATTAACATATAATTTATTAAAACTGAGAACTTTCTTGAGTCATAAATCAATTTACATAACGAGCAAAGAGTAGAGAATAATAAACCAAAAAACAAAACAAAATGACAGCAAAAATATTAATTGTTATCCAAAAAGTGAAAGCCAAGTATTTTTCGCTAACTTTGCTCCGCAATTGTGCTCATAATTAATGGTTGAGTCCATTTACAGTGTCATTGATTTTCATTATGAATTTAAATCGTATTATTTCACTCGCTTTAGTGAACACCACTTCAAATGAGACTCAAAACACAATTTCTGTATAAAAACAAATTATATTGCATTTTATGGAAAATAGATTTTCGTCTCTAAAACCCTTTTTTCAAAAGAAAAACAAAATATTATTATTACTGTATCATATACGATACAAGTTTTATATACTGTAAGAGCAATAAAAATGATTGTCGAGAAAGGGTACACCAAATGTCAGTAAAAGTTAGTTATATAAACTTTTCGCCGGTGTATCGTATTTATCAAAAACTCATTTCCGTTAAAATGGGTATAAAAAGAGCAAAACCTTTCTTTTGCATAATTAAATAGATAATGAATTATAATGTATATCATTGGCTATAACATAGACATTCACATAGAGATCGGCTATTATTTTCTTATATAATGTACTCTTTTATATTTATATTATAAGAAACAGAGCCTTAAATACTTAAGTATATTAAATCAAAAACAACAGAACGGATACGTGACCAGAATTTCTAAGGTTTTGATTCATGTATAAAATACAGTATAACATTGTTTTTATAGAAATACAGAATAATGTAAATACAGTATTATAGTAATATGTTAAAATTTAAACTTAAATTAAACTAAATTTCTAAATGAAATTTAAAAAGTTAAAATAAACCTTTTTATGAGTATTTTATCATTCTTGGTCTTTTAGAATTATTGATTTTAATAAATAAACTAAAAATAGTGATTGAATAACATTATTTAATTTACAGTAAGTCTCTTAACTCATTTCAAATCCATAAGAATTTATTATTTTAATTCAATATACAATTCGTTTTACAATATTTTCAGATTAATTCAATTTAAAATGATATTTGATAGCATTTTGGAAACACTATTAGTTTTCATATATTAAACATATTTGTGATGTTTTGCGAGCAGAAAGTAGGCGTTGTTTAGCACTAAATGTTTACCTGAAAGCCGAGACACGCGACACAATCATGAGCTCCACAACCATTCACTTCACACCAAATACAGCCAAAAAGTTGGCCCCAAATACTCATATTTTTATATTAAGTAAATGTGTTTAGAATTTCACTCTTCAAAGTCTTATGGAGGGAGTCCTCCCGTTCCTCTGGCGGCACAGGTATCACATATTCAGAGGCTCATCAAAATGTAATAATAATTTGGCCGCCAATTGCAATACACGCAACAATTAATAACGGCTTTCCTTTACTACTAACCAATATCTCTATTCACTAATTAAAAGCATTTGCTCTCTCTCTCTCTCTCTCTCTCTCTCTCTCTCTCTTTCCAGACACATATCTATTCTAATGTACGGTCGGCTCATTAAACACCGACTGTTTACTATTATTTGACAAAATTTTTAAAACAGCATTCATATTACACTCTTAAATACTTTAATTGTGATTAGACTTAGTGTATATTTAGTATAAGTACAGTATATTTAAACTCATAAACTAAAAGCTATATATTTTTAGTACACAGCTTTGTGAACCTTTAATATGAACTTAGTTTGAGATAATTAAAGGTTAATTTGGAGCCATTCTCTCTCTCTCTCCCCAAAATTTTATATATCCGTGAGAAACGGTTGAGTGAAATACTAATATCAGTGTAAAAACAAGAAAATGCGAGAATAAACATATTTTTATTGCAATAATTTACACATATATTTCGCTTTCACTTTTAAAACAAATGATTTTTAAAAATGATTTTTTTTATTGCATAAACAAAAAACATTTTTATTCATTATACTGTATTAACACAAATGGGAGGGATAATCAGAATAATTTCCCGCAAATTAGTTATTATTGGCATTTGTTTCTTATAAAATACTCAAGAGAGAAAGAGAGAGAGAGAGAGAGAGACTAATTTTGTAACTAATTATTGGCGTCTTCACTGGCAAGAGAGCCTCAATGGGTGGTCAGACCCTCTCAATGGTACTGATGATTGCATTTACGATCTCTTGAAGACACAGTGAGAGCAGTGCCACATTCACTATAACATATAAAACTGCATTCAATATCATATCCAGTATATTATAAAACAAGTTGAGCTCATGATTCATAAATAAAATTATGGCAGATATCTTATATCTAATGATGTGGTCCAACAACATTGTAAACAATAATTTTTGTTATGAGGGGTGAGGGGTATGAGGGGTATGAGGGGTGCCATATAATGAAAACTTTTCTTTAGTTTTTACTGTTTTTATTGTTGTTTTCCACACAAATTATTACACTGTTAAGTAAGAGAGACTGAGAACTAAAAACAACGGAAGAGTGGAATGGGAGGAATGGGAGTATGTGTTGTGGTCATCACTACATCACTTAAAACATATGTACTGTAGTACTGAGATATAGTAAAGTATAAGTCAATCATTAGTATATCTATACAATATTACAGAACTATTAAAGTTATTGTAAAATACTACAACGAATATCAAGTAATTTTTTTAAAAAATGAAAATAACACTAAAACTAATTTTTATAATCAAAAATATTTTTTAGTAAAGAAAACAGAAATAGTGGATATGCAGTATAATATTATACTAATAGAGCTAATATTATTAAAGAATATACAAAAATCTTTGGGTGTTTTATAAGAGTTTTACAAAATAATAGAGGAGAGGAATTATGTCTAATAATTTTGACTTCAAATTGGAGCTTATAATAGCGTAACACATCTCTACAAATGAGTTAACAGTATAACAAGTTAATATTTCTCTGTGTAAGAATTGTAAACTAAATTGTTATTATCCCCTTATTTCAACATTATCTCTCAAAACTTAAGATATAATATTTAATTTAACATTTTTAACTTTAATTTATTTTTCTCGGGCCCATAGCATCGAATTCATGACTTATATATAAATTATATAAAAACTATTAATAATATAAGAATTCAATTCATCACTCGAATGATGGCTCGATTCGTGAGTTTTGTATGAAAACGGAATTCTTTATATTAATCACATGTGAGACGAGAAATTGAATTCTGTCTCTGTTTTAAAATGAGATATTTTCTAATATATCAACGAATGGCAGACCGAGTGTTCGCCAAAGTAATAGCGCACAGGGATGATGGACAGGGAGAAGTGGGCTTACCTTGAAAGTAGCTCTTTGTCCTCAAGTAAGAAACACTTAATCGGAGTATCGATAGCTTATCGAGTTTGGAGAGAACGGACTGTTCGAAGGGTAGAAGACTGGCCAACATATCGAGCTCTGAGTTGAGGCGCTCTCGATGTCTCTTCGATGGGTTTGATTTGGTCTGACCCTCCTTTGGCTGAACACGAATACTATGCAAATATAATACAGAATATAACATTAGTTAGCACACCATTATTTAATCCTTATTCAATCATATCGTATGAATTATAAAATTTAATTAGAATTTTGTCAAAATAAATGTCTGTCCGACAGACCATACAATCGCTATATTATATGCCTCAATAGGATTTAATTTTTAATACTGCATTATCAATGATTACGTAGATGAGACTGATATGTTAAACACAAGTGTTTGAGTAAAATATTACTATTGTATATTTATTTATAATATATAAAAATTATCCATTTTTAATTTAAAAATTTGTTTAATAGAATTATTTACTCCAATTTATAAAATAATTTTAAACTATTATTAAAGATAATCTTGTCTAGTAGAATAATAATTTTCTAGTAAAACAACCTTGTTATGATTTATTAATTACTAATTTATAAATTTATAGTAATTAAAGTGTGTGTGTTATCTTTGGTTAGAGTAAATTGTAGTAAATGGATTAAGACTATAGATTCATATGATGTATGAAATGCACAATAATTTGATTTGGGAGTCGACTTATGGACAAACACACTATGAAATGGAAATATTGAACGAATTGACAATAGATTGCATTATTGGACAAACTTTTATCATTAATGATTCACGAATGCAATGCCAAAGGAAAATAATACAATATATATCTTTTGATTGAGATATTGAGATACAGTGCGTTAGGAACTGTAGTACAGTAAGCATAGGCACGGGTGAGGGGATGACAAACGGACTTAAGCCTCAGTATTATATAAGGGGCCGACATTGAAAGAGAGGACAAACGATATACTGTATTAATATACTATACTGTATGTGTCCGCACGCTATATGTGTGGAGCAAATAAAATGCAACCAAAGTGTGTATACACTATGAGAAGATGGAAACGGATAGCACCGGTATATTGAAGGCAATCATATATTCTTGTATTGAGTCTAAGGAATGAGCAGTTTATCACGCGATGCCATACATTGGACAGACAGACAACCGGAGACAGTTTGTGGACACGAAATTCAATTCAATCAAAAAAATGTTTCACAATTGGGATCTATATATGAGAGAAGTTGTAGAAGAGTTAGCTTTTATGGCTTGCATTGCCTCTCATATTGTTTTTATGTCGCAAATAATTACGAGAAAAAGTCGAAAGCATATAATCCCTCAAATTGTCCAAATCGTCCGCCGGTTGACTAATAATGCATTTATGAAATATCGCGAAAACATTTGCTCCTAAACTTAAGTCTCTACATCTGTTCCCACTTTTTTAGCACATATCCAATGTATTGGTCCAATTGTGGGCCACACATGCACTCCATTATCCGTGTATATGATTCGCCTTTTCTCCCGAACCACTCAGCCTTTCATACGATTAGTACAGACACAAGAAAGTCAAATGAAGCGATAAATTATTTGCGCAAAAAATATATCAAAAATTGGAGTTTGTATTTCATAACTTTGAGAACCAAGTGATAGGAATAGTGACTAAAAAGCAGTATCTAATGGTTTGAGTAGTTCTCTCCATCATAACAGATGGCTTATACACTGAATTATACATCAAAACTAATGTATACTTTATATACTTTATATACCTGTATCGCACATAAACTACAAGAAAACATTTAATGGCAAAAAGCATTGCAAAGTAATGCAACGTTTTATTATATATTATTCTTTATGCAAACCCAATATATTCTGTGCTGTCATTCGCGTAGTGTATGACTGCAGCCATTGGATAGCAATATAAGAGTCGAGACTCTGTTTTATTTATGTTTATTACAGCGACTCATCCATTCAATCCAAAAGGACTGTCAGTGGGAGAGGGAGAGAGAGAGAGAGAGAGAGAGAGATGTGAAAGGACTGGCTCTCACTCTGAGGTTAATTATATTTCGTGTCTCTAATTAAGAAAAGGGTTTTTGTGACAAAATTAAAGCAATAATTTTCTCGTCCTGTCATTCCCTTTATGTGTTCATCGCTTTAGTAATAGTATATCACAACTACTGGTAATGTAATTAACATCCAAACCATTATTGTGCTATTATTATGGCTTTATGTGAATTAGTGCACTAAAAATGCCTAATCAGCTGAAAGGTATGCTCCACGGGATGAGAGAGACAACAGTGCTATTAGTGCTCTACATATAGATCCAGTTTTCGGTCCTAAATGCACATTCAATACATAACTTATAGCATATAAAGCTATTGCCAGCGAAAAATAAATTCAATATAAAAGTGAAAAGACTCATAGCTGTCGAAACGAGACTCAAAAAAATTAATGATTTTTGGGCACATGAGAGGTGGCCTCCGCTAATGACCTATTCAGCACAGGGAGGTTTACTCCACACTACACTATTACGGTTATAACGTATGTGTGTATTTGAAAGACAACTTTTAGCACCATAGCTCAGGTACACAAGTGCCACAAGGCTTTAGGTTTTTAAAAAAGACTTGAGAATAAAAAATATGTTTTTAATACATTGTGTAGTTTATGTCCTAAGGAGCGGGCAATCGTTGGACAGGTATATGAAAAGCCACTCATTCACTGTCAGCGCTGGAGGGCATCGACCAAATGAATAATAAGTGTTTTGGTCATTACCTCAGCTCATACTCCATGTCATAGACAGTACACAACAAACTGGGAAACGGCTACTAATTTGCACATATTTATAAGGGATTAACAAACAAATTACTCGTGAGATCTGATTTGAAGTCATTTGACTAAAAAATAGTTATTTATTTCTTCTGATATAAGAAAAGAGAAAAATAAATAATAATAATATTTGGGGTTTACTTTAATGTTAGCAACGCTTTAATTAATAATTAAAAGCACATAAATTATTATTCTTCAACTCAATTATATTCAAATTCAAAATGTTTTATATATACGGTAATAGTTTCATACATATGAGTACTGCATATAATATTTTGCATCAAATTAATGATTTGCATAAAACCTGATGTTAATGAAAGGCATCGTTTATTTAGTTGATTATATAACATGTGATTTGAGTTTAGGCTAAATATAATTCTCAATCAAATTAGAAATGGAAAAAAGAGGAGAAAATAGATTAACTGAAAATGAAATCCCAGAGAATAACTCAATACTAATTATTTTTGCTTTTGATTGAAAAACTAATTTCTATATTTTGCTTAAACTTATGATTATTCTTCTTATGCTAATAATAACCACTAATTAATGATTAATGTATGATTTATAGCAAAAATGTGCTCAAAACGAATAAATCATGTGATGTTTGATTTAATTTAGTTTCACAATTAGTGCCTTTCCTTTTTTCACTCATAATTAGAGTTCAGGTTTGGTATACATGAGTGCGAGTGCACAGTAATTGTCAGCAGAAATGGCTGTAAATGGCATTTATTAGCAGTAATTTAGGTAAAAGATCTCTCATATCGATAAGACTATGCGATGGCATATCTATTCACGAAACCAACAGACGATGTGTTGAATACATCGTTATTTGGGCGCTCGAGTCGACCAGAATTGAAGTGAGAATTTAGTGGAGAAGCGCTTATGTTATGTATGTATGAAGTGATCGCATGTTTGGCTTCGTTTAGTAACCCAAAGGAGAGAATATATAATATATAATACGAACACATATTTGAAACGCTGTATCACATCATCACATGTTTACACAACATATAGAATGCATGCAAACACTGTAAGCCATGAATTGATTCAATCACTTGATAAGCAAATTAACACTAAACATAGCGTAACATAACAAATGTGTGCCACTATTACACTAGGAATAAGTGCCGGCGCTTAACACATACACACACACTCTCTCTCACGTGTAATTCATTCATATTTATGGACTCCTATTCTCGAAGACAGTGTAGGGGCCGGTAGTTGTGGATTCGGTAGTGGAAAGTCGTTGCATGTCTGGCATGTATTGCGTGGAGCGATGATGTCCTGCAACACGACTACAGGACCAAACATGCGACACAAGGAGCTTAAAAATACAATACCAGTGCCGCCGCGTGAGCTGGCACTCTCCCGGTGCATGCATAACATGCCAGTGTTCAGTATTAGTGCCAAGCACAGTTATGTGTGGCTAAAAAGGCAAAAACTGAATCGACACGAAAGTTTGCCAGACTATGAAACATATATAAAAACGAAGATCAACTCATTTGGTGTTTAGTCGTCTCACAAACTCAACACAAATTTAAGCCTCACTTTTAACATGACAGCCAACACTTCGACATAAGTATTAGGTATGCATTCAATAGTCTATTGTATTATTCTGTGTCCTCTAAACTGGATTACAAGTGCTCGCAATGTTTTGCATTAAAATTCTCACTCAATCCGTGTGACTATTAATGTGTGTGAATGTGAATTGTATTTATCTGTTACCGTATTTTGATATTTCATTAGATTTTGGTCAACAACGGGTGACAATACTATACTATTCTACTATTCTGCACTGTACTGTATGTCCTATTATTGTTGTCATTAATTTTTTGTGTCAATTCAGTTCACTATCATTTGTATTAAGCAGTGATTAACTCATTAACTCGTTTGCCATTTATATCTTTTTTTATTTCATTGACTGTTAATGACTTCACTATACATTTATGGTATAAATCAATGAAATGAATGAGAAGTGTATTACTATTACCACTCTATAGACTATGTCTTCATTCAGAGCATTGGCCTCTAATTTGATATTACAGATTGAAATGCGAAATAAAAATATATATAAATTTATTTTAATATATATTTTGGAGAATAGATATTCAACTCTAATATGAAAATATAATAATTTAAAACGGATTCCCAGTATTGAGGCATTCATTACGTTGATTATAGACATGACCAGACACTCAAGTCATCAAGTGATGGATCAGTCAATGTACCAGTGCTTACAAACTGCAGTCAACAAAACATAACATATTTGGCGATCAAAAGGTAAAAATCAAATATAAATTTTAAACGAATTCAATAAGTAATACATTTTTTGAGTCAAAAAAAACAAAATGAGAATTTAAACTATAGTTTTGAATATTACTATTGAATGCTTAGTATCAGTGCTAAGAAAGCCTTAGGCCTATCCCTGGGATGAAAATAGGAGTCCCAGTGTTATGTGTATATGCGTTATGTACACAGAATATTACATAACTAAATATAAGGGAACAAGTGATGGGAAATCATATCACATCACATCACTGGTCATACCTTTTCTATAATTCAAATGCCTATTGCTATCATTACATCAACTGATGACATATCAAAACAAGCAATTGATTTGACACCTGAACCCTACTTTCCATTTCAAGGAAATACATTACATTTTATTATATACTATAATTTTTACAATTTTTGTAGTAAGGTTTTATTACCATTAAATTACAGATTCTATTAAAATTTTTATAAAATATGTTATAATAAATTTTTGATTATTCACTTATTTTTAACTAAATTTTTTATTACATTTAAATTATCTCGTTATTACTATATTTTATATGTTTTTAAAAACCTCACAATTGTGTGAAAATTTTGTTTTGTTATTGTAATAAAAAACTTTTTAAAATTAATTTAATAGCGAATGCATTAAAATATAATGTTTGAGGAGTTTTTGTTGTACGAAAATTGCTTTCAAGTCATTAAATTAGGTTTTTATTTATTTGCATATTATATAACAAAAAGAAAAATTGTTTGAATATAATATTTATATATTAGAATTAAAAACGTTTTCACAAAGTACAATAACAAATCAGATATTATTTAATAAGTAATTTTATATGTCATTGATATGCATAGATATTACTTTATGCAAATGATTAATGTCAATCATTTAGAATATTGCATAATACATATGTGCTATTAATAAGTATTAAATGAGTTGTGTATGAGGTGTATGAGGTATCTGTGCAAAGTGGACATACCTTTTGCTATTTCTTCGTCTTCGTTTGGTTGCATACATAGTCCCCAAATGATTCATTATTGCGGTGAGAATGAGATGCCGGTGCCGTCCTTATGGTAGAGTATGGTATGGGAGACACGTCTTATGCTGTGCACAGCAATGGAAGGGTTTGATTATTGTGTCGATAAATATGTGGCAATAAATATACAATCGATTCTCATATCATGTTTATGTGTAGCCAATGATCACATCTATTGCATGACTTTTACTTCAAACGCTGCAGTTATTGAAGATAATAATGGATGCGATACTAGAAATAAAACACATATTCTTAGCATTACTTCATTTGCAAATACAAGTGTTTTCACTCAAAAATGTCTTCATTTTTATGATAATGGTTCGCAATTAAATTAAATGTCAAACAAACAAGTCATTAGTTGTAAAAATCAACAAAAATATTTCGTATAAAAACAAAAATCAAAACATAAAATAAGTCGAAATGACGAAAAATTTGGTCACATTTTGAATGAGAGAGAAAATAATCATTAATGTGTGATAATTGGCAGCAAATCAATAACTCTATGAATGGAAAGGGATGTGAAATTGGTTGACAATTCTTGCGGTGTATGGATAGAAGCACTCAATCAGAGAAACCCTTCATAGGTATAGCAATAGGAGTAGAGTCTATGCAATTGGAGGCCCTTTCCATTCAGGAATCGTTTTCATTTTAATAGCCGTCTATAGCGTCCAAACATGCTCTCAACATTTCATCCGACAACAGTCCGCCCCCAACCCTCCCATCCCATGCCCACAACCAATAGTAAGGCATAGAGTCGGGGGTCGGAAGC